CCACATCTACAGTAAATGGAAACATGCGCCCTTGGGAGGAGGTGACCATTATAGCAGTCTCCTGGCCTAGCTTTGCAGTCTGAACTGGGAGCAGTGTCACACTCAGGCTCCAGATGGCCTTTTTCTAAGGGCCACCGGCAGGAACAGATAATTGATAGCCATTGGAGGTGAGATAGCAGATTCTCCTGGCCATACTGTGTCTGGACTTGAGGAAAAGCTGGGCAGAAGTTACTCAGTGCCGATAAGGCAACCTCTGATTCCTGCTTGGACTATTATTGTTAATATTATGATCTTTACTAATTTATCAAGTGCTTACTGTACAACGTAGTTACGTTAATCATCTTATTTAATGTTCTAAAGTGAGTTGTTCATACTATTAGAGACTTGAATCTAAGAACGTGGAAATTTTCCCAAAATTCCGTGGCTGGTAAAAGGAAGAAAGAAGATTTGATTCCACTCTTGTTAGTGCTTTGTTTTGTTAGTGTCTGGAGGCCAGGGCTGGCTTCATGCACTTGTGGCTTAGACAGTCCTAGAAGGCTTTCCTGTGAGAAAGATTCAATGTTCTGCTTTTATGGTCTTGAATTTTTTTTTAAGTTTTCTATTAAAAGAACCCCCTCCAGTTTGCGCAGGGTCTCACAGTTTATGTGCCTGGGGCTGCTCACACCCTATTCTTCCCAACTTCCTCCTATTCTCAACATGGCTTTCTTATAGAACCCAGGATCATTATCCCAGGGGTGGTCCCACCTACAATGGGCTGGGCCCTCTCCCATCCATCACTAGTTAAGAAAATGCTCTACAGACTTGCCTACAACTCCATCTTATGGAGGCATTTTCTCAATCAAGGTTTCCTCCTCTCGGATGAGTATAGTTTGTGTCAATTTAACATAAATCTACTCAGCACAGAATGCTAACATCATCAGTTCCTGCCTTAACGAAAATGTCTATTGTCTTGGAAAAAAAATCTCTAGCATGTGGATACGGCAATAGAGCAGCCCGGAGCTCATTGGCAATGCTGTGGGTTCTGGGCCATAGGATCTATGCCTCTTCCTTGCCAGCATGAAAACGCCAAAAGTTCTCTCTGATTGAACCCACCATTCTTTCTCTTCCATACTTCTTCAGTTCCCCAAAACATCAAATGCAAGCATCGCATAGCATACCAACAAGAAAAGAAATCCAGTAACTGTGGAGTCAACATTAGAGGAAACTGAAACATTCCTTAGGGAGGTATTTCTCAAGACCAAGACAAGCAGGTTAGCTGGGTAGTGGTGGCACATGTCTTTTATCCCAGCACTTAGGAAGCAGAAGCCGGCAGATCTCTATGGGTTTAAGGCCAGCCTGGTCTACAGAGCGAGTTCCAGGATAGCCAAGGCTACACAGAGAAACCCTGCCTTAAAAAACAAAATAAAATGGCATTTTTAATTTGGAGGAGAAATACCATGGGTTTTTTTCCCCCTGCATGTCTGGTCAGGTACGTACCATCAACATGCTTTCTCCAGCAGAGTCTAACAATAATGCTCTGACTAAAGTAGTACTTATCAGCTTCCTCTAATGCAAAGATCTTGTGTTTCTCCCTTACACACCTAATTCTGGCAGTGAGTCCTCAAACACATCTCAGCATTAAAGACTGACAATTATTATTGACTTGCCCTTTAGTTCTGAGTATCTTCTTAAATTATCATACTTAGGACTTGTATACCTTCTCTTCTACTTATTAACGTATTCAATAAGTATTGTGCATCATACATAGCCAATTACAGATTGTTGGGAAAAATGCATTGGGGAGTCACTTACATCAACCTGAGAAGTGAGCAGATAGCATGTCTAAACTGATATCTCAAATGTTTCCAAAGGAAAAAATGAGGATTAATTCAAAAGGACTGGAAATTATGTTTGTGACAAAGAACAACATGCACAAAGGCATGAAAGTGGGACTGGGCAGGAGCCTGAAGACAGTTTCCATTTTAAAAAATACATGTTAAACAGGAAGTATATAATAAATAGGGAAAGAGACAGAAGTTAGGTGACAGGAAGGGTGCATGAATAGATGAGGCAGAGGGTACAGGAAGTCTTTCCAGATGTCCAGAGACAGCTGATGCCAGATTAAGTATGCACAAGGTCAAACAAGGCACACCATCTCCAGACTCCCAGGTCCTGAATCGGAGGCTCTATAAACCTTACAGCCATGAACTGTCTTCTTCACAGTCATTGCTAGTAACTTCCTGCTGTGGGGCTGATGGGGATGAAGACACTGGCAGATTTACCTAGCCCTTATGTAAGGCAAGTATCATCTCACTTAACCCTAAAGAGTCAGGCATTGTGATGAATGCCTGTGATGAATTTAGGGAGTGAAAAACTGAGACTCAGAGAATAGGTACCATGCATGGAGTTATGTAACTGAGACACAAATGGTATGATTGTGGACTCTAGCTGATTCTTCATATTGCTTTCTCTAACCATCATTTGGAATAAGGAAGCCTTGGGCTTCTCAGGACCTAAGTTATCCTTATTGAATTATATCCCAAATAGAAAAGGGATCTGTTTGGGTGGGAGTTCCACCTCAACCCCTGACACCCTGGCATCCCTATACCCAAAGAGACTGGAATGTTCTGGTGGAAGATCTACATCAACTCCCCTCCCCATCTCTTTCCCTAAACCCGCCCCTTCAAAGCCCGCCAAACACAACTCCTCCCCCAGAGAGGCTCAAGTCTGCTCCCATAGGGTAATAAGTGGCATCCCGGAAAACAGACAAGTGGTTCTTCTCATCTTGAATCCCTGTCTCTTCTCTGCAGGCCAGAGAATAGCCCAGGAGCCCTTTACCCATTAAACCTGGGCTTTCCAATTTGGTCTGATTCGGCTTGCTGCATCGGCGGAGAGGCCTTCAGGAGGCCTAAAGCTTATCAGGATCAGCAAGATCCAGGCTTGATCTCTTATTGTTCAGGAAAAAAAATGTTTTGGAGGCATCATTGCTGTATACTGATTTAAGAACAATGGCTTTGGGGAAGTAATAATGAAGCCAGGGTTGGGGTGTGTTTTCCCTGAGATAGGTTCACCTTAACCAAATGTCTTTATAAAATATTTGCACTAAACCATTTCCTTTCTTCATAATGAGGAGAAATGGGCAGATAAATCAGTTGGGAGCCTGTAACCCAGTCCTCAGAGGTGATGTGTCAGCTCGGTCTCTCCCTCTTCATTCACTGAGATGGATGACAGGCCAGCAGATCCAATCATCCATCATGAGTCCCTGCAGTGAGTTCTGGAGAAGAGCGAGGGAAGTTTCCAGTTCACAGATACAGTCTTTGCACAGTAGTGGGGAAAAGACAAAAAGCACCAAGGAGAAGAGCGAAAACTCCAGTCAGTCTCATGGTTTGAGGGGTCAAGTCTTTATGTGGCATCCTAAAGACCCAGACAGAAAGGCCAGCATCACTCTCTCCTCTTCAGCGAGCTGAGTTATTTGGCAAATTCACAAGGATTAAGTCTGAACTCAATTACTCTGCATAGCAATAAGCAGAAGGAAGAATATGAAGCCCTCACCGAATGCAGACTATAAACGAAGGTGCAAGGAAAGTCCGTTCACTAATAAAGCCGGTTTTGGCTGGTTGAACATGCACTTCCTTTGTGATTAATAAAAGCAGAAATATAATCCCGTTGCCTGTGCTGTATAGAGCCTCCTGTTTAGAAATAGGGCTTATGGGCTTCAAACTCACTTCACATTTATTTAAACATATTAAAAGCCCTACCACATTCCCCCTTAGAAAAGAATTTAAGATAGATATGACTCCTATAATTCCTGTCTAGGCCACCATGACAAAGAAAGCCAGTTTACCTTGACAAGTTCATTCTTACCACCCAGAGTGCTTATGAGTACTGTGTGTGTAGGGTTTTGTGTACTGATCATATATAAATGTTAAATAATTTAAGTGGCCACTTATCTCAAATTCGCATGTTCTTAACCTCCGCATAGAACAAGAAGGGAAAGTTAAGAGCTATGGGGCAGTGATGTTTCTCCCTAAGTGAGCAAAAGGATGGCAGGGAAGAGTAAATACAATAACTGCATCACCAGGGAACACGCACCACACTAAGGAAACCCAATGCAGTTCTTGAACACTTCCTTGGCTCAAAAAGACAAAGGGGGTTTCTTGTTTTTGTTTTTAATTTTCATATCACCAAAATTAATGGTGATACGGGCCGCAAAGCAAGTTCAGGGTCAGGAATCCGGATAAGTCCGTTTACTGTCAGAGGGGTAGACATAAGTTACGCCGCAGCTTCTAACCTGACTGCCCTGGATTTAATAAGGTCCCATACACGCTTCCTCCCGTGCACTCAGCTCGCGCCCGCCTGCTTGAGAGTCCAGGCAATTAGCGATAAAGGGGAGGTGGAAGCCTGGCCGCATTCCAAACACATCTGGGGAAGGGGAAAGGTCTTCCACCTCAGGATGTAACCAGGCAGAGGGATGACCACCGGAGTGAGGAATGAAAAATGGCCCTGATTTATAGACTTGTGGTAAACTAATTTAGAAAGTTAAGGCGCGTCGTCTTGAAAAGCTACGTCGCTTCATCTCCGAAGGTTAAGTTGAGGAGTTTAAGAAAGAATTTTCTGGCATTTCCAGTGAACTAAATCAGAAGGTGTTTCATAATTCTGTATCCATCAACTGTGCGACGGAGAAACTTTTGCTTTTCTAAAACACATAAAGAACCCAGCTCTGCCCGCTGTCATATCTGCCTGCTTTTGTATTAAGAACCAAGTGTCTAGATGGACCCTAGGACCTCCAGTTTCTACTATTTGGACTTATCAGAGACAAAGTTGGGCCAAGCACTTGTGTGAGATTATGTGATTCTAATATTCTGGCAAAGATGCTATTGTCTGACTTCTTTCTTTCACGTCAACATATTCTGACGTAGCGGTTCTCCAAGGGGGAACCGATTCTGTCATTAGAATGGCACAGAGAGTGCTTGGCTCTCTTTCAGCCATGCATTTGTTCATCATGTTCAGGGCCATATGGAATCTAATGAGAGTGCGCGATGGTGATTCATTTCCCAGGTGTCATAGGCTGCAAGTCTGTGTTCGCCAAAACTCGTATGCAGAAATGAAATCCCCAAGGTAGGTCTGTGGGAGGTGATTAGATCATGGCGATGGAGCCCTCCCCAATGTCTGTGTGACCTTATAAAAGAGACACCTCTCCCCAGGAAAGCACACTTTTTCCTTCTGCAAAAGGACACAATGACCGAGTTGCCATCTATGAGCCAGGAAGTGAGCCTTCACAAAAATCAAACCTGTCAGGCTTCAGTGTTGGACATTTTGGGTCCAGGAGTTGAGAAATAATGTATTTCTTTATTTGTAAGCTGCAGAGTCATGATTGCCACAGCAGTCCCCATGGGCTAAGATGTTGGTATGAGACAAGAAGGGCCCGTTGCTCTTTCCTGCTGCATTTATTCACAAGGGAATTTGGCTTCTTCCTCACGCTGTTTTTATATTCCTGTAAGGGAAATCCCACACTGAGCCTAGCTCAAGATCTTTAAACACCACCCCTTCACTCATGAATGGGTCTACAGGCATTTGAGAACAGATCTCTCTCTCTCTCTCTCTCTCTCTCTCTCTCTCTCTCTCTCTCTCTCTCTCTCTCTCTCATAGAGGGTTCCTTCCTCCCTCTGCCCTCTGGATCACCATAGCTAATTCCATTCAGCACCTTTTGCTTCAAGTAAGATAGTTTGGTTTCATTCTGCCCCTTCTGAGCTGAGCTTAAATATTGGACACATCTGTCACTCACTCCATGGGGTCTGCTATATTTCCATCCCTCCATCTTTACCAAATGGCAACCCTCACTCCAGCTTCTTTCTGCAGAAAAGGCCAGAGACAGTAGCAGAGTTGGGCCATTCATCATTCATGACAAATGCTTACTTCTTTTCTTCTCTCTCTCTCTCTCTCTCTCTCTCTCTCTCTCTCTCTCTCTCTCCTTTCTTTCTCTCTCTCCCTCTTTATTTCTCTTTCTCCTCCTCCTCCTCCTCTTCTTTGGTTTTGGTTTTTTGAGATAAGATTTCTCTGTGTAACTTTGGCTATCCTGAAACTTGCTCTGTAAACTAGCCTGCCTCTAACCCCCAAGTGCTGGGATCTTAAGTGTGCACCACCATCACCAGCACAAATGATTATTTCTAAGCAGTTCAAACAGAAAAAAAAAAATTCATTAACTAGTAGGTTGGAAAGCTAGAATACCAAAACAATGAAGGAAGCTAATTAATCAGAACCTGGGATCAACAACTCCCCTGTATTTAAAGGCCAACTTTTTCCCTTATAGTTTTCCATTCTAGAAGCCATGGTCATTTTCTCTCCATTGTTCTGTATTGTGTGGGGACTATGGCAGACATAATGCATGAGTTTTATCCTTAAGGGCTCAGCCACTTACAAGACACATTTCAACTCTGCAACTCTTCACAGGGTTCAGAAATCCTTGTGAAGCTTGGAAGCGGGGTCCTGAACCAGCAGTCCCTGCTCCTTGAGAAGCTGAATTAGAAGGATCATTGAGCCCACGAGTTCAGGATCAGCTCAGATGACACTATGAGACCCTATATAAATAAATAACCACCACCATCAAAACACATCTCCTTATGAAATAATACACTGATGTGGGCAGTTTTCATATCAGCCTTAGGTTTATATCGTATGAAAGGGAAGCATTTCCAGAATGAGAGGGCATTTGAAAACATTGGCATGTGCAACTTTACCCTCACAGTAGCATTAATACACTGACACTTGGAACTTATTCCTACTAAAGGATTCTAAGGAACCTAATTGCAGCCATCTACACTTGGGAGGGCATAACCAGTTGAAAATCTCTCCCAGTCTCCACCCACTAACACTACATTCATAGAAGGATACCTTAAAATCCTTTGTAGGGTTTGCTGTCTTTGAGAAATGAGCTCACAGTGTGGCCCAGGCAAGCCTCAAATTCATTAGCAATGTTCCTGCCTCAGCCTCCCCAGGAGATGGGCTACATGTGTGTACAGCCATGCTTGTTATTACTTTCACTTTATCAGTGGATTGTGTGATGCCTACCCTTCACAACTTGGAAGTTCTTGTAAGTCAGTTTTTTCAGGTTTGTGTGTGTGTGTGTGTGTGTGTGTGTGTGTGTGTGTGTGTATGTGTGCATGTATGTGTAATGTGCTTATGTATGCGGGTACATGCAGGTGCACATGTGCATACAAGCATGAATGCAAGGGCACGGAATAGAGAGGAACACTATGGGTGATGGTTTCTCAGACACCGTGTACCTTTCTCTTTCCTTTTCTTTTCCTTCTTTTCTTTTCAGTCAAGACCTTTCACTGGCCCTGAATTCCCTTAGTAAGCTAAGCTGGCTGGCCTGCCAGCCCCAGGGATCCACCTGCCTCTGCCTCCTCAGTGTTGAGATTAAAAACATACACTACCATGCCCAGCTTTTCTTGATTTAGGTTCTGGGGGGCATAAAACTAAGGTGCTAGTGCTCACCTTGTAAGCACATTACCAACTGAACCTTCTCCCTAGCCCCTAATCTATATTTTTAAAGCTATATAAAAATGCTCTAAAATTAAGGGTGATGATATATGAGAAAAGAAACTAATCACTGCACTTGTTCCATTTATTTGAGTAAAGATAAAAATACAATTGACAAATAAACCTAAGCACACAAAATAGGGAATTAACTTTTAAAGATAATGGATCATTTTATAGACCCCAAGATAAGTGTGTGTGTGTGTGTGTGTGTGTGTGTGAGAGAGAGAGAGAGAGAGAGAGAGAGACAGAGACAGAGACAGAGACAGAGACAGAGACACAAAGACACAAAGACACAGAGACAGACAGACAGACAGACAGAGACTTAATATAGAAGCTACTGTCACAGTCATGTGGAGGGCTAAGTGTAGAATACTCCACAGACAACCTAACGGGTAGCTACTAGACCAGTCTATTTCAGCCAATATTTATTAATCGCTTTTTTATGTACAGGGCATTACACCACTCAAATTTTCATGCTTGCCAATCTTCACGCTTCATCATAACACTTAAATGAGTCAACTCCTTTTAAACTTGGTGTACCACTGAAAAATACACTGACGGCATATTAAGTTTGATCTGCAGCATTCTCTGCAACCATAAAACAAAATGTTGAGTTATAAAACTGTGGAAATGAGCACTTCTCTTCCCATGATTCTTAGTAACCATCAATTACAATCAGTAAGAGGAGGGGGTTGCATCTCACAAAATAACTATTATCTAATGACAGAGCTGTCCCCGTGATATTAAGGAAATGATTCTCTCACCTTGAGTCAGATTAAACTACATTGGTAAGAAAAACCTTCAGTATAGAAATCTGCCTGAGATCTTTCCAGATAATAAGGACTTAGATAAGTTCATGAGTCACACAGGTAATGAGATCAGTCAGGATGCTGTGTGCTGTGTCCTGAATATAGCAATGGTCTCCCCTGCCTCTAGGTCTTAGCTGAACATTTGCCTCAACCTCAAACTTTTTTTCCTTTCTTTTTTTATTATTAAGAAAAATTTTTCATTCATTTTACACACCAATCAAAGATCCCCCTCTTCCCTCTCCCCTCCAGAGCCTCCCCCTCCCAACCCCCCCAATCCCACCCACAAGAAGGCAAGGCCTCCCGTGGGGAGGCACATTTAGTAGAGGCAAGTCCAAGCCCTTCTCCTGCCTCCAGGCTGCGCAAGGTGTCCCATCATAGGTAGTGGGCTCCACAAAACCTGCTCACGCACCAGAAATGGATTCTTGGGAAACCTCAAATTCTTCTCTTACAGTCCCCAACTGAAATACTAAATTCTACCCTCCCTTAAAGTCCTGCCCCAACAAATCCTCCAAGTAGTCATTTTCTTACATTTGCTTATTTGCTTAAGATATTTGTATTTGTTATTTTTTTGCTTTTTCAGATTATATTCACATAATATTCTCTCTAGATACTAAATGCTGATCTTGTGGAAGATAGATGCCATAACTTTTCCCCATTTATCCCATCAGTCATTAAATGAGTATTTTTGAGTGTCCATATTCACCATGTTCAGCATTATAGAGACATAAAAATAAATAAGACTATATTTTATTCTGTGAAAATTTACAGCACAGGGAATAAAATATAGGGAGGAAAATAAATATAATACAAAGTAAGCACAAATGATGTTAAAGAAGTAAAGATAAAATATTTAGAAAGTTCTGAAATGGCAGAGATTGTTCCCATAGCCAGGGACAGGGCTGTGGCTTAAAGTGAAGAAGTGGAGGAAATGAGATGTTGCCTAACAGGACAAATTTGGAACTGTCTTCTAAGGATGGATAGGAACTGTTATGTGTGGTAGGAACTCCTGAAGGAGAAGCTGTATGAGTAAACAGGTAACCAGGGGGAAGAACATCAATTTGAGTGATTCAAGCAATCACTGAAGAGATACAAAGAATGCTGAAATTGTAGCAGAGAAACCAGTGCCATTCCGAGGTAGCCAAAGTCCTGCCAATCATGTGTTACCCCAGTGTGAGCACACAATAAAGGAGATGGTGGATGCACTAGATAGGGGATGTATTAGAGTGTGAGCAAAGGATGAGGCAAACCCAGCCTGGGACAGAGGCAGTGGAAGCCCCCCATAAAAACTCCACAAGAACGGGCTGTTGAACCCAGGGGATGGTCTTGAGCGTGGCTCATGCAAGGAACATATGAGAGTTACACAAACAGAGCAAACACGAGTCTAATGAGACATATCAAGTATGTGTTTTGCTCTTTGAATCGGTCTCTGGGTCCAATACCCATGAGACTGGCACACAATTAACAAGTGGCTTCTGAATTGTGTAATCCACAGCGAACATCTAAAGTATACAGTGAGAGCAGTAAAAGAAGACTATTCTAGAGACATCCTTAAAATTAGAGGTTGTCACCAGAGGACACAAATATGCGGTTGTGTCCTAGAATCATAAAAAAAAAAAAAAGTTTTACCATCTAGAAATCAACCACCATACACTGGGTAGCTATGCCAGTAACTGATTAAATATTTTGTAAACTACATGCCACTCTATTGTCCCAACTCTATTTTACTAAGAGGATAACTTGAGCTTTCAGCATCGAAAGCCCTTCAGG